TTTATTGATTGATTTGATTTGATTTGATTTGATTTGATTTGATTTGATTTGATTTGATTTGATTTGATTTATACCCCGCCTATCTGGGCGACTCGTCCACTCTAGGCGGCTTAGATGGGAATTGTTAAGAAATCCAACTAAAACACCTTTGTTCCTTTATCAAACTTAACACCCTAGGCCGGCCAGCCAAACGAACAGAGGGGCAGAGAATACCAAGAAAAAGGAAGAGAGATAATAGGCGAGGGCTGTAGAACTTGTGATCCACCAGCCATGTAGGGTGTACACCAGGGGTTTGATATACCTTTTGATTATAATTTTTTTTCTCTTTACCTCTGACTGCAAAAACAAGGGAGCTGTCAAGCATGGATCAGCTGCAAAATGTGACTAATGGATTTTGTTCAGCTCAGATTTTATATAAAATATAAAGCTAACATGACTTAGTGTTAGTCTCACCTTTTTAAAAAAAGTAACATTACTCATAATACATTATTTTAAGACTAAGATGTTACTGTTACTATTCAATTCATCTCATTTCTTGAAAGAATAGAAAAGTACTAAACATATCTCCCCCACTGTCCTGCCAAATTTTGGAAGAAACAGTACTTGTTACACTATAAAGTAGAAACATTATTCAGTTGTTCCGTTATTTGCAAAGAGGCTGTACGGTACTAGGTAACTTGCTGACTTATAAAACACGGCTTCAAAATTCCAATTCAGCTTGATTGATCAAACATTGTGCAGGTCTGTGATAAAGTGAGCTTAATGTTGAATTCAGTGGGGTTTATTTCCAGGTAAGTGGATATAACATGACAGCCTCATGTTAAAAATGACAATATACTTTATAATGTTAGGATTTTAATGTAAAGAAGAAGAAAAAACCTATATATTCCATCTTATAGTTTACATTTCTCAGAAGCATTTGCATCAAAATTTGTTTCTTTTTAACAGGAACATACAATGAACAATCAGAACATCTTGGCAAGTAGAGAAATCAACATTCAAGTACAGAAAGAAATGCCAGGTCAACTCTCTTCCACTGTTAAGGTTAATGGCAGAAATGTACATATATAGAAAAGATCCAACTAACGTTTCCAAATGTTTGTCAGAATTGCAGGATGCTATATATATGGGAAGCACTTTTAGTGAAAAACAAAACAAAACATTGAATGCACATTTTAAATGAAAACGTCATTTATATAAAATTAAACAGAAGTTCAGTCATTAAGGTCTTTCTCAATCTCTAAGTTTTACTATGTGAACATTTCCACAGAAGTGTTCATTAAATGTTGATCGCAGAAGATTTTACTTGAAGTCCAATGGGGAGAAAGTGCAAAAGAAACCACATATATTCAAAGAAAGGCAGCTGAAATAATTGCCACACAATCATTTTATTAGGAACACTTTTTAAAGCAGGAATAAAAGGATTGTGTTCCTAGAATTGGGAATGGCTGGTTGATTCAGTAAGATGAAACTACTGCATACGCAGAATGCAACTTTAATCTAGAAATTTTCAAGGCATACCTCAACTAGATGACAGGGTGCATGAATATTTAAGTTTGCTCTCCATATGCAAAGTCAAACAAGTAAAGTTTAACATAATTAGTTACAAACATACAAAGTTAATGATATCAAGTTGAAATACAATGAACTGATGATAAACAAACAACTAAAAAATCCAAAATAGCACATAGCATTGTAGGGAATTAAACTAATACCTTTGGTTGTTGCATCTATGCCTGTTTGGATTTTGTAAACTTCCCCACATCCATATCCAGATCTGACCACTTTTCAAGCTAAAGCAAAGAGAATTCCCTTTTTGTATAGCATTCTCAACTGCTGATGATAAGTCACATGGGATACGTTGAACAACTAGATAGTCATGTACCACTGAAGAATGATTTGCAAATTAAAAATAAATGATAATATATTCAACATTTAATCTTTTCTGTTGTCAAACCAAGAAGAGTTCATCATTTACACTTCTTATAGCTCATTGGTATCTCTTTGGCCCTGGATAATAGCTGTTTGTGAACCATCTTCTGTAAATATTACCATACTAGATAGGTGTTCGGCATTTCCATTAGAGGTTATATTGCTGGAATTTAAAAGAGTGCTGCCTTGCAAAATTTCTTGAGGCTCATTGGTTTCTATCACAGTATGTGAATATACTCCAGACTCATCTTCCACCTCCTGTGGTAATCCTGTTACAATATAATGGGTTGCACAATCAGAGAAGTTGCTGGTAGAATCCTGAACCATGGCTTGAGCAATTTCCTCTGTGACAATGATCTGTGAAATTTCTCCACTGGACCCGACCAAATCCATGTGTCCACTCTGAACACTCAGAGTGTGGCTACCAGCTTCTTGCATTATTATCTGAGATCCTTCCCTAGACACCATATGCACAGTTCCTTCCTCATTCAAAATGACCTGAGTGACTCCTTCTTTCATCAGCTGGTCTGCAGCAGTAGTGTCACACACAGCAAACTGGAGGACTCCTTCAACCATCTTCTTGAAAGTTACCTGACTTCTCTCCTCAGATGCAATTATGGTAGATGGATGCACAACTTGTGTTACTACTTCCATGGACTCTCTTTCTTCACCAGTTTCTTGAACATCATGAGACATATCTGTTTCCTGGGACATGCTGTCTTTAGAAACAATGTCTTCTTCTGAGTTCGATTCTTGCATGGCTTCTTTATGATGAAGTTGTGCCCTGTCTTGGAGCTCTGCTTTGTTTTCTGCTTCACCAAGTTCTGTTACGGCGCAGAGCAAGGCATCCAGTGCAGAGGCAGATTCAGGTGGATGTACTCTGGCAACCACAGATGGATCTAAAATTTCCTGTCTTATTATTTGTTGTACCATGGCATTACTTGGGTCTGATGCAGTCTCTATGGATACAGCGTCTGTGGTACTGGCTCCTCCTAGAGGTCCTTCAACAACAACAACTTGTGTTTTTCCATCTGACAGTTGCTCCGTGAGCAGCTCTCCTGGAATCATGCTGCTCACATGAGAGCCATTTTGATTTGTAGTTATAACTTGCCCATCTTCAGTAATATGGACAACCCTTGCCACTTGTCCAGCCATTGCCAAGGTCTGAAGGGTAGCTGCAGCTGTTTCTTCCATTGAAGCATCAATTGCAAAATCACTATCATACCCTTGAATAATAATCACCTGCTGAACTTCCTCAGTGGATTGTGGATGTCTCCTGCCACTATGAAAGATCTTATCGTTCACTGGAGAAATTTCATCCAGGGCTGCTGTAGTAAAAGGACTGGTGGTTTCCACAAATGTAGCCCCCTGACCCTTCAGACGACATTCATAGGATTTGGAAACTATGCCTAAATGAAGGAAGGAAGGAATTAATTGAAAGAAAGAAAGAAAGAAAGAAAGAAAGAAAGAAAGAAAGAAAGAAAGAAA